GCACCGTATAAGACCTAGTCACCTCATCGGCATAGGCTAAGTACTTGTAATGCATAAGGCACAGGCAGCTAGGGTACGAACCTTATGATGCATAGCCCGCCTCGGCATACAACCGGTTGAACCCGTTAAGGACAACCGATCTTAAGTAACCCGGGTGCAGACAGGTCGGGCATATACCCTACTATGTTGTTCACCTTGGTGTACATCATAAAATTACCCCTACTAAGTACTGGGAGACAGTTCGAGGTGACGACAGTTGAGAAACCCCCACTTCGGGTACTTAGCTCGATAGCTTAACAGTTCGGGGTAAAATAATCACTTCGGCAAATAAAGTAAATTTCACAACACTTAGCAAAGTGTATTTTCATTACAAAGATATATTTCATTACAAAAAGTTTGTTACAAAGGGGGAAGAAAAGAAAGAAAAAACTGAGCTCGCAGGCTCAAAGTACAAGGACCGCCCAAACTAATTAAGGGACTTATCATTCTTGCTCGGAGCCTCCACAGAATTGCCAGCCTAGTCGGCAGCTTGGTCGGTAGCGTTAGCCTCCCCAATGTCTTCGTTGCCCTCCTCCTCAAATTCTGGGTCTTCAGCGGCTTGCTGGGCTACCTCTCTCGTGATTCGCAAGGTGGTGATGGCGCTTACATCAAGATGTGGKAACTCGTATTTTATCAGCCACCTGCTGAGCTTGAAACCTTTGCGGTAGGCCTCCACCAACACCCCGTCGAACTCCTCCGATTTGACATAGTCCTGGACAGCCTTGACTTTGGCCTCCTCCATGGCGCCAAGGAGAATCTCAGTTCGCTCCTTGACGTCGGCTTCGAGGTTCTCTACCTCGCGCTTCAGAGCCCCCTTATCTGCCTCAAGGTTTTCCACCTTGCGCATGAGCTCCTCCTTCTCGTGCAGCCTCCCCTCCTTCTCCGACATCAGCGCCTGAATGTAGTTTTTCTGAGCTATGGCATCTAGACCTGTTCATGGGCCGGGTGGCCTAATAGGCCAGCCCGGCCCAGCCCCCGGACGGGCTTGAACAGACTTTTTGGCCCGTGGGCTTAACCTCGGGCCAAAAAGCCTAGCCCGCATAAAATTTGAGCCGAGCTCAGGCTTTGCCAAAATAGCCCGGCCCGAGCCCAATTAGGCCCGACCTATAGTTAATCCTAAGTAAAAACCCTATGTGATGTCCATTTGAATAAATTTTTTGATTTAAGAAGGTTGTTGATTGACTTGTAGGCCCATTGTTCATTTAAATAGGGGAAAAACATCTGAATTAAAATAGATAATGTTCATTTGAATAGGGAAAAATTCGAATTTCTTTTTTTAGGTCAGGCTTCGGGCTCRGGCTTGGGCTTCGGGCTTTTTATCAGGGTCGGGCTCGGGCCTAACATTTTTCTGTTAATAAAGAGTAAAAGCCCGGCTCGAGCCCGGCCCGGCCCGGCCCATGAACAGGTCTAATGGCATCGCTCTCCAACCGGTGGATTTGACCGCGAACTAGCTTCAGATCGGTGTGAGCCGTGCGGGCTGAGTTTTTGACAGCCAAAGCTCGCTTTAAGTGTTGCTCAGACTGGTAGGTCAGGGCGTGCACGGCGTTGTTCACCTGCCAAGAATGCCAGTTAGCACCAGTAAGGCTACAAATGCAAAAATTGAAGTTTAAACAAGACTTACCACCACACAGCCCCTTTGCTCTTCTGAAGGCTGTACTACGGGTTCAGGATGCTCTGAGTTGTTCCTTCGTTCCCTGAGGTAGTCTCAGGAACGGGAGCGGGCTCTGTAGTGGTCTCGGGAGCGAGCTCTGCAGTTGTCTTGGGAACGGGCTCCGCAATCGTCTCGGGCTCCTGAGGTGGGAGGTTCTCCGACTCCTCCAAGTCAATCACCGGAGCATCAACAGGCTGTTCGAGCTCGGGAGTAGGAGCTCGTGGAGGTTCAATGCGAGCTCTCTTAACAGCTCGCTTCTTCCTTCCTTTCATCTTTCCGAAGAGCCTTTCTACACTAAGTTGCTCCATGGGTCCTGTGACAAAGCTCGACATCAGTGATGCTACCAAAATGTGCCAGCTACTGAGGTAAAGTACTAACTCTAAAACAAGGCGACCTACCAGGAGTCAGACCGGCCTGAATGAGCTTGTCCTCGGCAAGGTAGTCCTTGTAGTCGAAGCCGAGCTCCGCCCAAGACTGGAGCGTCTCCCTTGTATCCCGGTCCAGCATAATGCCGGAGTTCTGAACGGCCACCCTCCAGTGAGTAGGGAAAGGGCACCCTGCAGGGTTGCGAACTACAAAGTAATCTCGTTTCCAGGCCGGGATTTTGTTGGGAAGCTCRTGTAACAACTTGAAGCCCGGGCGGGGGGACAGGTAGTAGGTCTGCCTGTGCTCAGGGAGAACGCTAGAGGCATTCTTCTTTATGGAGAGGATGGAGGAGAAGTTGTTCCCCGAAAATCACGGTCTCGTCGTGACCATGTTCCCAAGGGAAGTCGCCCGCAGGAAGGTGGTAGGTATACTCCCTAGGAAGGTGGTAGGTATACTACCTAGGAAGGTTATACCGAACTATTAGGGCCCTAAGTCTGTCTACGGTCATAGTAGAAGGGTTAAACTTGTCCGATATCCGACCTCGATGAGAGGTGGATGCCGGGTTATCCGAGGTCTCCTGCACCTCATAGACGGACTATGCCTCGGAGGCACCTACTTGAGCTGGGGCACCCACCTCGGGCTCATCTAAGAGACTATCGAAGCTATGGTTTGACATAGCTACGAGCTGAAAATGAATAAAGAAGAGAAGCGAACTACGAACTGAAAAGGAGAGGCTAAGGAGACTCACCAAGGGAAAATGACTGAGCTAGGAAGACTAACGAACTGGAAAACCCGAGCTGAGGAGCTTAACCGCAACCTCAAGACGAACGATGGTGAACTTATGGTGGAGAAAATGACTGGGGTCCCCCCTATTTATAGCCGCTATGTCCGAGATTCAACGGTTTTTATCAAGACGATCTAACAGCTCTCAAGAAAATTGGTTGCACGACCCCTGAGGTGAAATCAGTTTATTGTGCTTTTTGACGTCCACAGAGTCTATAGATCACGTGACGTCCGCACGTGAATTGTACGCGACCCGGGTTACCCTTAATTGAGCCAAGCAGCGAACTGGTCCGACCGACGAACTATCTGATAGGGCGGCCTAGATTTCGAGCCAAATCCACCCGTCACATAGTGAACTCCCCACACCAGGTCAGGACTCCTGGCTCGGGGAGTGGGGGGCAATTGATGGAGGGTGATTTGGCCCGACCTCATAATAAGAGGACACGTGGACGTAACTTAGCATAAGTGACAACTCAGTGTGACCAGTCCGCCAAGATCTAGCATGGCAGCTCGCTACAAGATGACACTACGATTACCCCGAGCTAAGATTCTCCCAAGTAGGAAGCACCCGAGCTAAGATTCTCCCAAGACGGGAATCTCCCGAGCTCAAGGCACTTCGGGTTGAGCTCGGCAGCCTCCTAAGGATAAACTCGCCTGACCAAACTCAAGTAGGCCACCTCGGGCAGAAGCACCTCGGCACATGGTAGCTCGGCACAAGGTAGCTCGGGGCAGAGCAGCTCAGCATATCACAGGAAGATCTCCTGCCTGACAACCGTACCTGTCAAATCTGGAGACTGCGCCCACGTCTCTCGCCAGGCGGCGTCGTGTCTGCCAACCCTGAGAGGTGTCCCTTGTCTATAAGGGCCATAATCTGCAACGATTACCCGCACCCACCAGCTCAACACTGGCAAGTAACGGTTGCGGCAGAGAATCAGAGGCGGTTATACTAGATTTGTCAGGAATCAGTATATAAGAGCTCTGACCCCCAAGAGCAAAGGTAACTTGCGTGATCTGCACTCGCCCTTTCATTCTTGCTCTGCTCTGCAACTCTCTTCCTGCTTAAGCATCAGAGTATTCCCGCTAGGAGAGCTCCCCGGGGATCCTTCTTCATAGGTATCTTGTCCGTCGCCAGCTAGAAGCGCAGCCGCTGCCAGCTAAGAGTGACTAGATCGCGCACCATCACCTCACCTGAAGTTTAGCAATTGTACACCTTTCCTAAACTTCCTGACATGGTTGTAAGTGGACCCCCTCTGGTAGAATCTTCTAAAAAAGGCATGAAAATGTCCAAAATAYCCATATAGTTATTTTTAATAAAAATATCTATTTTCTAAATGTTCTCTTCATATAAATCACTACCTCAAATCCTTCCAATCTCTTTTCTAAAATTGATTTATTTTCTAAATTTACCTTTCATATCAATCACTCAAAGGTAAGGCTACAATTTTAAATTCTCTTTGTTTTTATTGTTCATAAAGTTTGTATTGTTTTTCCCTGAAACCAGCCTCATAGTAACTGTATGGATAATTTTGACATTGTATGCCTTGATTTAGAAGATTCTACTAACTTGCAACTGTATTAAAAATTTCAAGGGAGGTAATTACAATTACTAAGACTATGTTTGGTTTGAAGGAAAAGGTAAGGAAAGGAATGGAAAGGTAGGGAATGCTTTACAAATCTTATATAAGTTTTTCCCTACCTTTCCCTTCCTTTCCTTACGTTTTCTTTCAAACTAAACACAGCCTAAACTTCAGGGTGCAGCACATAGGAAATTGTACTCCTGATTGGTTGTTTAACGACGTTTGCATATTTGTGTTGGCACAAGGACTTCACTATAACTAGTTTAACTACTGCTTGACCTGTATTTCTTGACCCAGTCTATTAGGCTTTAAATTGGGTTCGGTTGCTACCAAACCCAACTTGTCGTTTCCAGCCCAGCCCAGCCCAACCCAGAGACAAGTTCTAGAATTTAGGTAGTCCGTAGGTTAGCGGGTCGGGTCAAGAATGGCCATTTCAATGTTTGACAACTACGTCATGTAATTTGACGGCTATGGTTATCATATTCCTCATCTACGTTCGAGATCATCTAACAAACAGATTGTCTGTAGCCAATAGAAATTCAGAGAACACGTAAGTAGGAGGTGACCCTGATCCACTTTATTTATTGTTTGGGGCCTTTGGGCGTTGATCGATCCTTTTAATTACTCTGTGCGAGAAGGCCGACGAGGAAGACCCTCGAAGAGCTGCACCATGGCCTACGTCGAAGGAGGTACGCTACCGATGCTTTCTCTCCTCGTTCATTCTATCAAGAATTCTTTCAGTTTACTTAAAATCTTCATGAAAATGGAGAGAGGGATGCAATTTTTTGTTCTTTATTTACTGATCGCTGTTTGAATCGCGATATTTCGTTCAGAAATCGTGTTTCGTTGGTCAAATTAGGGTTAGGATTCTAATTTCTTAATGGATTCTGTGCGAGTAGTACGAGTTTAGGGGTTTTCTTGAAAATCGTTTGGATGTTCTAGTTTCATGTTGAATCAGGAGATTTCACGTATCTATCTCTCAATGTTATCCAGTTCCCTCTGTAGATGTTCTCAATTCGAATGAAATTTTGGGTGATATTTGTATTGATTTTTGTTGTTGAGAAATTCGCACTGAATTTATAATTTGTAGAATTGATTGTATTATGTTCTTTGTTTCTCATTCAAATTGTATACTGGTAACTAATCTAGAGCCCATTCATGATATGGTTATTACATGTTTTCCTAATTTAGTGAGCCAGTAAATCATCCGTGTTCTATTCCATTTTGTACCGGAATTTTTGAGGGATACTATCTCAATTGTGTATATGCATATATGCACACATGAAAAGATTGCTGGATTTATCATCCTGAAGAGTATCAGAGTCGAGGAAATTCTCTTGGGGTGCTTGTTTCTTCTTCTGGCAGGGAGGAGGGTAGTTCCTCCAAAGCAATGCCAAAAGACATTACCTTCTTCTACAGACAAGGTGGAAACCACTATTTTTAATAAGTTTGACCTGCTTTTGCGGGTAACAGAGGTGCTGCACATTTGGCATTGCTTCCTAATAACTTTATTAAATAGAGAAAGAAAACCTGGGACTATAGACGCACTGTAGTATGGAGCTGATATAAACAAAAATATGTACATGTGGTTGGCCCTGACTCCAGAGGCATTCCATACAACTCTTACAAGATTCATGGTCTTGATCTTCTATTTAGTCTTCAACCTGGCAAAAGGAAACTGCTATGACTTGGCCAATTCATACCGTTCAGGGTTTTCTGGATTCGATATTTATTCAATTTCTCTTCGATATCAGCTTTATAAACCATCATGTATTCAATTTCTCTCCTCATAATACCTGAAATTTTGGAATTTTTCTTAATGCAACCTAATAAAGAGGACTTTGTTTTGCCATGTGGCAAAAGACAATGGGGGCTGAAACTTGCCACATGACAAGAGAGTAACTTGGCTTACACATGAAGCCCTTTGGACCTCTAACAAAGCTTCTGCCAGGAAAAATCCTAGGTCATCTACACCCAGTTGTTAGGTTATCAACTAGAAAACAACACATTTCACTTGTCTAGTAATAAAATAGAGAAAATATAGATAGATCCATCATATAAATATTTATTTACTTACTCATAGAAATACAGATTTTGGTGGCAAACATAGGCAACGTAAGCTTCATTTCCTTTTCTTTAACATATTGATTGTGTCAAGCTGGGAGCTTCATTGTATTGATGAGCTCATGCCATTCGAATGAGCTGAAAATTCATCAGTATAAATATATTTCTCTATTTTGGACTTGAAAATCTAGTGTATACCATAGCTGGGAGCCTCTAAATCATCAATTCTGGAGGTGTATACATGTTCACTTTGACATCGGCTTGACATCAATGCTTCTTGTTGTCTTTCTTATCTTCTACAACCTACCATCTCAAAGTTCTTTTTCCTATTTGTGTTTAACCAACTCTCTTCATTTAGAATAGTAAAATTCTGTGACCAAAAATGGTTTACCAATTGATTTAAGATATGTAGTTAAATGGAGCAAAAGAAAGCTATTGTTGAGATTTGCATTGCTGACATTTGACATTCACTAGTAGTTTCTTGTATAGGGATGATGAGTTGTGTTTTCTGTGCATGTTTCTTCTTCAGGTGTTGTGAAACCCAAGAAATCACTATGGCGATTGAGCACAATTACTGATTTCTTTTGGTTTATTCTTAATTTCATTGGCATTTTCTTCATGACCATGTTCTCGGTACCTTTGAAACACCCTACTACTCTACCTATTTCATTTTAGTTCACTTCACTGAAAGTTGATTGGCTTGTGAAGTTTAATTTTGAATTCACATCTGCCATTTCCCAGATGGAAAAATCAGATGCTTACAAGAAAAGCTCAGGTGCCAGCAAGAAATGGGATGGTGGTGGTCCTGGAGGTCCTGGGAGAGGTCCATACGGTGGTGGACCACGTGGGCCACCCCGTGGATTGAACAATGTCCGTGGGATTGACCACAGTAAGTTTCTTTCCTTTTTCATAGCTTTTTTTTTGGGGTTCTTTTTCTTTCAGTTGTTTCCTTAAAAGGTGATGATTTATGTTCGACATCCAGGTTCCCTTCCTGCATGTGGATCCTGCTGCGGGGGCTGAAATGTTGGTTGATGCACTTCTTTCACTTAAATACATGTTTACTGTAATTGAAATAGGCTAGTTTTTGAAGCATCCATGGTATGGAGAATGTCTATATTCCTCTGTTATTGTGAATGATGCCTCTGAGAGAACTCAAGTAATATATTGATGTTTCAAGTTTCAACAATTTTCCTTGCTTTTTATCTGAAATGAATTGAAACTGATGGAAAGGCTTTGTCGTCACCAGTCTAGTTTATCCCATTAAGAGACTGGGAGATGTTGTAATGGAATGGTTCCCTCTCATGGAGCAAGTAACAAGCTAACATCTAAGCAACCAAAACTGTTTGTTCACTTCAAGAAAAAAAAAAATACTACGTATCGATGGAAAGAAACAACCAAAACCGTTTGTGTACTTGGTTCTGTTTTTTATTTTTTGTTTTTTTTTTTTTTTCTAATTTCCTAATTGAACCACCGACATTGACTCACTGAGCATAATGACTGTGGAATAATTGGGCTACAAAATTGCTATTTTTTCAACAGTAACTCTCTCTTTCAAAATTTGTTAAGTTAAAAATAAACAATAGAAACATATAAGACTATATAATTGTTTTATATAATAATTAATAATTATTTATATTTTATATATTATTTTTAATAATATATAAATAACAATAATTAATTTTAAATAGGGTTGTTTATCAAACTTAGATATGGCAATTTTTTCTAATTCCCCAATCTCATGTGGGGATGTCTTGAATGGGGTGGGGATGGGGATGTTTTTCTCCTTGTGAGGATAGAGATGGGAAAATTTCCATTTCCATTGGTGGGGATGGGGAGAGCACTCTCTGCCCCGTGTCATCTCGATTTTTGTCTCATGAGATCCCTGCTAATATATATGTATATATATGCATACGTTTATATATGTATATGTACATATACATTTATATGTTAATATTTTTAAAAATATGATTGAATATGTTTGAATCTTTTCTAATAGGATTGTAAATTTTAATTATTTATTTTTTATTTTTAAATAAAATAAAAAACAAAAACATAATGGTTGTCATTATAAAGAATCACAAGGAGTGGGGATTAAACTTGTTCATGGGTTAGGCTCGGGGTTGGCTTTTGTCAAAATTCTAATGGACTTAGCCCGAAGCCCGAATCCAAAATAGTATAAAGTTGGGCCCGAAGCCTGGCCCGTGAACAAGTCTAGTGGGGATCCCTACAGGGATGGGGATAACTTTGTCCCCATTAGCGGGATGGGGACGGAGACGTGGATGGGGATTTTCGTGCGGACGGGGATGGGGAAAGGCTCCTTGTCCCTGCCCCACCTTGCCATTCCAAATCAAACTAATGAAACTGACCAACCTAATATGTATTTCCAGTCGGCTATGGTTCAACAATTTCCCAATCCAAATGGGATGAATCAGTTTTGCTTTGGTCATTTGTAAACTAACTAAAATCGAACGACCTAACCATAGATATATATTAATATTTTATATTTTAAATATATTTTTTAATACGAGAAAGTGGGGAAATTGCAATATTTCTTAGGATAAAATAGTTTATATCATAAATTTAATTTTAATTTTTTTAAATAATGCCATTGTAATTTTTTGAAAATTAAAACTTAATTTTTAAGTTTTTAAGTTTAAATTTTTGAACTAACCAACCAAACCGAAAATTGACCCAAACCCATGTAACCTAAGTGACCACCCCCCAACCTGACCAGGTTGATTTGGTTGGCCAAACAACCTACACCTAAACCAAACCAACCTGTGAACAATAGTTTAGTCTCTAATAATTATTAAAAGTTTATGGCGAAATTACACAACAAAATAAATTTAAAAAGCTAAATAATAGTAGTTTAAACTCCAATAATTAATGTAACTTTTCTATTAAATAACAAAGGAAAAATATATTTGTACATAATTATTGAAAATATATTTATCACAAAAATTATAAATAATTACTGAAATATAATAAATATTAATTTTAGTATAGATAAATATATAATAAATAAAGATTAACTTTTTAAAATTATTATTAATAAACAATTTTGTGAAAGTCATTTTCTAGAGTTATTAATTGGTATAAATGAAATTAGTTATTTATAATATTATTTATTTATTAAAGTAATATCATTATTTAAATTTTAAAATATTAATTACTTGTTGAATTTAATAATCCATAAATTTATAGTACTATTAATACATAATTTTGTTATCTTAATCTATTTATTTTAATTAAAAGTTATTCAGTAACTATTTAAAATATATTATTAATTGATTCAAAATATTAATTTGGGAAATTCCCAATTAGTACCTATACTTAGGGATGATCATGGGCCAGGTCAGGCCGAGCTTTGCCTTCATAACAATGGGCTTAGGCTATGCTCAGGCCCCGCTTGATCCGCATTGTGGGCCTAAAAATATAAGCTCGGGCCTGGACTACATGGGCCCGGGCTGGGCCAAGATTCCAAGCCTAATTGTTGTATTTCAGTTCCAAAATTTAACAATTATACTTTTTTTCACTTATTGTTGTGAAGACTATAGTTTATACCTAGTAATTTATAAGATAAAAGCTTCTAACATAAAAGAAATTAAATAATTATACCTAGTAATTTATAAGTTTCAATTGGTGGTTTTGTGAAATTGGGTGGTGGTTTTGAGAAATTGGTGAGAAAGAGAGAGAGATAGAGCCGAGAATGGGAAGATTAGGGTTTAGTAATTTCCATATTTCTTTAAATACTAAAGTAGAATTTGGTAAGATCTATGACCCTAGGATTAAAATATTTAATTTCCTACAAATCTCTATTAATCTCTATTTAATATATAAAACATCAATTATCAAATATTTTTAAATAATATATATACATAAAGATATATATTTATATATATAATATTATTTATAAATACCTGGGCTAGGACAAGCTTGGCCCTAAATTTTGTGGGCCTTATGCAGGCTTGGGCCCGGGCCGGGCTGAAATGATCACCCCTACCTCTACTTTGTGCCTACTGCCACTTTGGTCCCCAAACTTTAAAATGCGACAACTCAATACTCAAACTTTCAAAACGTAACAATCTAGCACCTATCGTTAACTAGCTGTTAATCAGCCGTTAAGTGACATTTTAAAAAGACACAAATGCCCTTCAAGTGTCATTTAATTTTCTTTATCAACCATCCAAACATTGACAAAAAAATTGATAGTCCCAAATCCTTGCCTCTTCTATTCAAGAAAGTTGGGGTCACCAAAATTCCCATTCAAACGTAACTCCAACTTTCTTTAATGGAAGGAAGGATTTAGGATTGTTAATTTTTCGTCAATGTTTAGATGGTTGATAAAGAAAATTAAATGACACTCGAAGGGCATTTGTGTCCTTTTCAAATGTCACTTAACGGCTGATTAACAACTATTTAACGACAGGTACTAGATTGTCATGTTTTGAAAGTTCGGGTACTGAATTGTCGCATTTTAAAGTTCGGGGACCAAAGTGGCACTAGGCACAAAGAACATGGTACTAATCGGGAATTTTCCCAATTAATTTTAATATTTTGTTATTTAATATATTTAGTTATTAAAATATTTAAATAATATTTCATTTTTAATGTTAGATTTTTATTATTTGAATAACATTTAGATTGAATAATCCAGAAAATCATAATTTATATTGTTTGTACATAATTTCGTGATCAATTTTGTAAAAATATATAATTATTAATAATATGAATATTATTAAATCCATCATAATGATTTTTTGTTTTTTTAATAAATATTTTAAATTTATTATATAATTTTATTAGAATATTTAAATAATTTTTAATTTTTTTAATTCAAACTTTCTTTAGATAGATGTAGATAAAAAGTTGGAAAGATAAATAAGCATTAGAGATAATTTAGGAGAGAAACTCTCTACTAAATCAGAGATAACTTAGGAGAAAGTAGGGGATAGTGAGAGAGAGATAGAGAGAGAGAGATTTTAGGAAGATTTTTTTTTGAAGTAGAGTTTCTAATTGGTAGTTTCGAAAACAACATGGAATAAAAAATTGAAAAAAATAAAAAAAAAGAGAATTTCTAGACTTCCTTGTTTTAATATATATATATATATATATATATATATTAATATGAAAGGGGTGGTCTCCCCTTTTGCCAAATGGTACCATTACCGATTATAAATACTGTTATTAATAAATCATGTTAATAAATTTAGTAATTATTGTTATATTAAAAATAATTAAAAATGTTATTAAAAGTATTGTTATTGATTATTTAATAAAATATTATAATTACTGATAAATACTATTAATTTAATTTAATTTTGGTAATTATTAATTTAATGAATATTGTTAATAAATCCTATTCATAAATTTAATAATTACTATTTTATTAAAATAACTAAATAATATTATTAAAACTATCATTACTTATTATTTAATAAAACATTATAATTACTTATTATTATAGTTAAGTGTTGTTAATAATTAAATATTTAATAAATAATGTCAACAAAATTTAGCAAAAATATTGTTTGTCTTTTTTGCTTATTGAATTTCTTTGGTTTAAATTTTTGGCTTTGTGCTTTGAAGATTGTTACATAATGTTATTTAAAAATGTTATTTGCATTTAGCTTAATGAATTGCTTCAAGGTTCTAAATATCAACACGGGCCGATACACCCTATGCCGGTGCTTCTTTTTATGTTTTACTTATTTTTTTCGAAACTGGTTTAGAGGGGCCAGTTTAAGGCTTGCTACCMTCTGAACCAATGGCTGACCCGATACAACCCCTGTAGGGGCGTATTGGGAAGCCACTGACACGATACGTATTGACTGATGCAAGCCGATATGTATCAATACTTTGAACCTTAAATTGCTTTTGTTTACATTTATAGATTTTGTGCTTTGAAAATTGTTATATATTGTAAGTTAAAAATATTTCTATTTGATTTATTTTTTAAATTTAATAACTATTGGACCTAAAATTATTGAATAATGTAACAATAACAATTGTTAAATAATTATAAAAATTATCAAATATAAATTAAAAGAAACTACCATTATTAAACATAAATTACCAATATTTATAAAAAATTAGTAAAAATAAATCAAAAGAAATTATCCCAAATTAGTAGACTTCAGGGAGATAATTACTTGAAATTATCAAATAATATAATCTTAAATACAT